GGTACCCTCTCTAACCCCACCGAGGCTCACGTGGAGAAGAGTAACTAGAGCTAGAGTGATGTTTTTGAGAGTAGGAAGCCATAAGTTGTCTTGTAAGGCTGTTGCCCTGGTGACCCAAGCCTGCAATCCTTCCTCAAAACTCAGAGATCACCACTTGCCACCCCACTACCCAACTTGAGAAGTAAAGTTAACCATTCATCTGTCACTTTGGGTATGGGCTCTCCAATCCCCAGGATAGCTGCTTCTTAATTTCCACTGCGTTGGAAATCCCTTTTCAATGGCCTAGAATATTCACAGGAATGCCTTCCACTCTGACAGGAGGAGCAGGTGTTTGTCATCCTGGGGGCAAGTGGTGAAGCAGAAGGGAAACTCATACACCAGCACTTGAGAGTGACTGCTTACCCGTGTTACATTTAAATGCGTTATCTATTCTTTCAAGGAGGGTGAATTCCTCAGAGGAAATGAACTATGTTTTATTTTTCCTTTTATTTCCAGTGTTCAGCAGAGTATAAAGCACATGGCAGATACCTAATGTTGTTAAATAAACGAATAAGTCTACACAGAGAAAAATGCGTGGTATATTTAGGATTTATCAAATAACTCACATTTGCATATTTCTATTTTAATTAAAAAAGCATTATTAGATTATTTAAAACAAATATTACTAGTTATTTCTTTGGTTGTAACATTTCTAGTATCTTTTTACTTGTCCACTACTCCTGACCTGGACTTGGACAACCAGATGTGTGCGTATTTTCGGTGTTTCACAGACCATCTGGCACAGATGGCATGCATGCTGCTACACTCACAGACATGTTAGTGAGTGACACAAAGTTTCCAGGTCCAATCACAAAAATACCATTTCCCTCCTCCACTTCCTCACCCGCATTCTAAAGGCCAAGGTAAACACATCCTGGGGCAGCAGTCTAGAAAGAATAACGCTAGAAATAAGATTGATTGAGATAAACCCCAGAGTGATCTGCTGGTGACTAATGGTAATATCTTTAGTTAACCAGAGTTTAGAAATACCAGGAGATAAAATCTCGAGTGCAGTCTCATAAACCTTTAACCCATGTAGCCCTACTCCATGGCAAAGTATCCTTGAAAGCAAATAATGATTTAAAAAATTAACTTCTTATGTTAACTAGCTACCCAGATAAGTTCAAGAACTGGAATGAACATTATCCAAGAATTTAAGGGAAATGACTAAGAGTTGGGAAATGGTTCCAGCATCAAGTATGACAACCTGTAAGAAGGGCGACATTCCATGCCTCCTCTGGGTAGGGCTTACAGGACATCCTATGAACTGTCATAAAAGATAAACCTGGGTTTGTCTTACTAAGGCCAATGACAAAGGCAGCTTGGCAGTGAAACTGACAACTAATACTGTGAGGCCACTGATGACAGCAATGAGTGAACAGCCTGTGTGGAACTCTTCATCAGTGAGATAGAAACCATGGAAGAATGAATACATTCAGCCAAGTTTCAGAGGGCACACCTTCTGCATAGCCCAGATAGATAAGAAAAGAGAGGATTTTTAAGGTAGATTAATTTCATCTCTATGCTTAAATAGAAATAGATTTGCTGTTTGAATTAAAATAAAACAAAAATGGAAGCAAATAAAGTCTTGATAAAATACAAAACATATTTTAGATATGTTATAAGCACAGTGCATACAAAACGCAGATATTTATAAAATTAGTTGTCAATACAAGTTCATATTACTTGTTAAGAGGAAATTCTATGGCATGTACAGTAAGTGCTGATATCAGGAATGCTTTGATAAAGAAGTTTGGGTAGGCCGGGCGCAGTGGCTCACGCCTGTAATCCCAGCACTTTGGGAGGCCGAGGCAGGTGGATTACAAGGTCAAGAGATCAAGACCATCCCGATCAACGTGGTGAAACCCTGTCTTTATTAAAAATACAAAATATTAGCTGGGCATGGTGGCGTGTGCCTGTGATCCCAGCTACTCAGGAGGCTGAGGCAGGAGAATTGCCTGAACCCAGGAGGCGGAGGTTGTGGTGAGCTGAGATCGCGCCATTGCACTCCAGCCTGGGTAACAAGAGCGAAACTCCGTCTCAAAAAAAAAAAAAAAGAAGTCTGGGTATAGGCAGGTACCTCACGATACTTTTCTATAGAAGCTAGGCAGCATTTTTTTTTTTAGATTTGAAGAGAAAGTGTTGCTTTAAAAATTATGTATTAACTTCCAACAGAAAAATCAGTAATTAAGTCAAAGTGGAGTTAGGCATTTAAATAGGCATCAAGTCAAATCAGTATTGATAACTTGTTTTCATTTAATAGAAAAATTATTTTAATTGGCTTTATAAATATACTTATTTGAATCCTGACGCCAAGGCTGCAGTTTTGAATGACCATCTGCATTACTTGAAGCAGCGTCTCAAAATGCCCCTAAAGGTCCCATAAATATTGTTTTTTTAAAAAAGCAAATCCAGAAGCACATCAAAAGCTTTATCCAACATGATCAATTTTGCTTCATCCGGGGATGCAAGGCTGGATCAACATACACAATCAATAAACGCAATCCGTCACATTAACAGAACCAATGACGAAAAACCACATGATTATCTCAATAGATGCAGAAAATGCCTTCGATAAAATTTCAGCACCCTTCCTGCTAAAACCTCTCAATAAACTAGGTATTTATGGAAGGTATCTCAAAATAATAAGAGTTGTTTATGACAAACCCACAGCCAATACCATATCGAATGAGCAAAAAAAGCTGGAAGCATTCCTTTTGAGACTGGCACAAGACGAGGATGCCTTCTCTCACCACTCCTATTCAACATAGTATTGGAAGCTCTGACCAGGGCAATCAGACAAGAGAAAGAAATAAAGGGTATTCGAATAGGAAGAGAGGAAGTCAAAGTGTCTCTGTTTGCAGATGACATAATTGAATATTTAGAAAACCCCATCATCTTGGCCCCAAATCTCCTTAAGCTGATAAGCAACTTCAGCAAAGTCTCAGGATACAAAATCAATGTGCAAAAATCACAAGCATTCCTATACACCAATTAATACACAAACAGCCAAATCATAAGTGAACTCCCATTCACAATTGCTGCAAGGAGAATAAAATACATAGGAATACAATTTATAAGGGACATGAAGGACTTCTTCAAGGAAAATTACAAACCACTGCTCAAGGAAATAAGAGAGGACACAAACAAACGGAAAAACATTTCATGCTCACGGATAGGAAGAATCAATATTGTGAAAATGGCCATACTGCCCAAAGAAATTTATAGATTCAATGCTATCCCCATCAAGCTGCCATTGACTTTCTTCACAATATTAGAAAAAAACTACTTTAAATTTCATATAATACCAGAAAAGAGCTCATATAGCCAAGACAGTCCTATGCAGAAAGAACAAAGTTAGAGGCATCACGCTACCTGACTTCAAACTATACTACAAGGCAACAGTAACCAAAACAGCATGGTACTGGTACCAAAACAGATATATAGACTAATGAAACAGAACAGAGGTCTCAGAAATAATGTGACACATCTACAACCATCTGATCTTTGACAAACCTGACAAAAATAAGCAATGGAGAAAGGATTTCCTGTTTAATAAATGGTGTTGGGAAAACTGGCTAGCCATATGCAAAAAACTGAAACTGGACCCCTTCCTTATACCTTATATAAAAATTAACTCAAGATGAATTAAAGACTTAAATGTCAGACCTAAAATCATAAAAAACCCTAGAAGAAAAGCTAGGCAACACCATTTAGGACATAGGCATGGGCAAAGACTTCATGACTAAAACACTGAAAGCAATGGCAACAAAAACCAAAACTGACAAACGGGGTCTAATTAAACTAAAGATCTTCTACACAGCAAAAGAAACTCATAAGAGTGAACAGGCAACCTACAAAATGGGAGACAATTTACAAGAAAAAAACAACCCCATCAATAAGTGGGCAAAGGATATTAACAGACACTTTTCAAAAGAAGACATTTATGTGGCCAACAAACATATGAAAAAAAGCTCATCATCACTGGTCATTAGAGAAATGCAAATCAAAACAACACTGAGATACCATCTCACACCACTTAGAATGGCGATCATTAAAAAGTCAGGAAACCACAGAGGCTGGAATGCTTTTACACTGTTGGTGATAGTGTAAATTAGTTCAACCATTGTGGATGACAGTGGATCTAGAACCAGAAATACCATTTGACCCAGCAATCCCATTACCGGATATATACCCAAAGAATTGTAAATCATTCTACTATAAAGACACATGCACACGTATGTTTATTGCAGCACTGTTCACAATAGGAAAGACTTGGAACCAACCCAAATGCCCATCAATGATAGATTGGATAAAGAAAATGTGGCAAATATATACTATGGAATACTATGCAGCCATAATAAAGGACGAGGTCATGTCCTTTGCAGGGTCATGGATGAAGCTGGAAACCACCATTCTCAGCAAACTAACCCAAGAATAGAAAACCAAACGCTGCATGTTCTCACTTATAAGTGGAGTTGAACAATGAAAACACATAGACATAGGGAGAGGAGCAACACACCCTGGGGCCTGTTGAGGGGCAGGGGAGCTAGGGGAGGGATAGCAGGGGATGGGGGAATTGGGGAGGGGTAACATTAGGAGAAATACCTAATGTGGATGACCGGGGGATGGATGCAACAAACCACCATGGCCTGTGTATACCTACGTAACAATCCTGCATGTTCTGCACATGTACCCCAGAACTTAAAATACAATAATTTAAAAAAAGCAAAACGCTAAAACCTATGATTGACAGGCAATTTATTACCAGCTTCTGAGAGGAAATTCTGCTACTCTAACACCCCAGGCAGCTGATTTAGGAATCATAGTCTTTTGATGATACATGGCTTATAACCTGAAAAAGAAGAAAACTGCCTGCAGAGAAGTAGAGATTTTCCCAGTGCCAGAGGACTGTTTGCTGAGGTTGCCAGGATACTGTTCCTCAGTACTCCTCTCAGTTACCTCTCTCTACAGACACGGGCAGAGACTGCAAACTCCTCTCACCCACACCTCTTCATGAGAAATCAAGAAAGAAGAAAAGAGAGAGAAAGTGTAAGGAAGGGAAGGGAAGGGGAAGGGGAAGGGGAAGGGGAAGACGAAGGGGAAGAGGAAGGAGGGAAGGAAGAAGGAAGGAAGGGAGGAAGGAAGGGAGGAAAGAGGGAGTGAAGGAGGGAGGGAGGGAAGAAAGGAAGGAGGGAGAGAGGGAGGGAGTGGAAGGAAGGAGAGAGGGAAAGAAGGAATGATGGAGGGAGGGCAGTGAAAAAGGAGACAGAGGAAGGGAGGGAGGGAGGAAGGAAGGAAAGAAAGAAAAGGTATTTTGAGCTAACGTAGGAAAACAAACAGTCTAGTTCTTGGCACAGGGCAGGCACTTTCTGGTCTTTACACTGTCCAAATAGACAATGCCCTCCCGTGCATAACACCCCTCAAGACACAGAGAAATGAGCAAGCACTGTTTCCCTCACTGTCCAGCTCCACAAGGCGAGAATCACTACCATACATGATCAAATACTGCGGCTGGCTGACGGCACAAACACTTCTACCCAACACCTGCTTCCTGTGAAACTTTGGGTAACCACCAGAGGCAATTTTACTGAAACTCATTTATTGTCTCCCTGTGCTCACATAACAGATAACATAAAATTTTCTATTTTTTTAGTGAGATAATATGAAATTGATATATTTCAAAATATCCTTGGGCTGAAAATATATGAACAATAAAACATTATCAAAATGGACTATGGATCCTAAGTGTGAACTCTGGGAATCTAGAATATTTAGTATTACTTATTTATGGACAAATATGGTTTCTAATCTTAAGCTTATTGGTTTGTTCTACACTGGAGAACACTGGAAAATACTACCTGAAAAAAGCCTGTGCTTTTAACAGTCCTGAAAAACAACACTTTTGTTTTTTGTTAGTATAATCTGGCCTCTTCTTTTATTAAAGGTCCAAAGTTATAGAGACTCTGCCAAGTAAGAGGTTGTTTTGCCAAAGAAAAAAGTTCTATGGTTATTTTCAGACATTTGAGCCTGTGGAGTTTAAAAAAATCTTGTCCTTAATTACTTGTGCATATTGATAGATCCTTGTTTCATCAAAATTTATTTGCAAGATCTTTTAATATTCATTCGTTCAACAATGATCTGTGCAGCTCCCATCGTACACCAGGCACTATGCTAGGTGTTGGGATTCAGTAGTGAGCAGAAAAAGGCCAGGAGTCCTCAAATTGTCGTTCCCACAATTTGGTGGAGGAAGACGTAGAATTATTAAATAATCAGACAAATTAATGGAACTTACAACTCCATTAAGTGCTCTAAATTAGAGAACCTAGTGTTATGAGAACATCTAAAAGGGGATCTGACCTAGGTAAGGAGGTCAGGGGAGGCTTCCCTATGGAAATGGCAATTGCATTGATACGTACATGAGTAACAGCTACAATTGAATTCCACGCAGAGGAACCATTAGGTGCTAAGGCCCTGTGAGGCCAGAGGGCATGGGACCTGCTTGGAAAGTAGGACAGTATGGCTTAGCAGAAAGAACTGGAAGAAATGTGGTAGAGTCAAGGTTGGAGCATAAAAGGAGGGGTCACGCCATGCAGGTGTTAAGCCCTGTGTGGGATATTGTCTTTATCCTAGCTGTTTGCAAAACCTGTTAAAGTGTTTACAGTTAACAGGAAACAAGATGAGATTTGTCTTGAAAGGATCCCTAGAGTTAAAAGGCAGGAACACATTGTGTGGGAGAGGGGGAAGAGCGGGTGAGAGGAGATGAGACTGTTGCAGTAATCCAGGCATCCGATGGTGGTGTCTTTGATCAGAGTGGTAACAGAGAGCAGACTGTAGAGTTTAAAGTAAAATAAATGACTTCATGACAAATAGGACGATACATGGCTTGACTCCTGAGTTCCTCTGGATTCATTTATCCAACCAATATTTATGGAGCACCTGTTATGTTTTATTCTGGCTACTGGTGATACAGGAGTAGGCAAGGCAGTCTCTCTCTCATAGAGCTTGTGCCTGCTGGTGCCAGAAAGGCTGCCTAAGGTGAAGATCAGTGCAATCACAATGGAAACACTAAACTACTGGAGGTCAGCTTTTGGCAAATCAGAAACAAATTCAGTTTTTAGTGCTTTATGGTTTCTAAAATCCCTTACTACTTTATAAAACCAGAAAGGCAGGAAGGTGTAAAATGGAGAGCCAGGGAAGGTGATGGGGTCACCCAAGGTCACAAAGCTATGAGAAATGATGACTTTGTCTCGAGTCTTCCAACTCTAAGGTCAGGGTTCCTCCTTTCTTTTCATTAAGACCAAAATCAAGGACGCTGAAAAACAGCCTGCTGAAGGAAAGGGCGTTTCTTTTTTAATTAGCCAGTTTGAGAAAATAAGATTCAAGGGCTCCCTCTCTCAAGCAGGAAAAAGCACATTTCTGGATTTAAGTCTAAGAAACAAAAGGGCACTTATTTTGACTTTATCATTACCTAAAGTAACAATCAGATTCTTTGTTGGCCCAGTGAATTCATGAAAATCCAGAACATTCTGAGATTTTGTATTGATACATCATTGAAGGGAACAATTTCAGGTATGTATCTTGGAAGCCCATGCCAGTACCTGTGGGGAAGCTTGGAACCAATGGAAAGAAAATAAAGATAGGCCTATATTGACCTTATTTGGCTTCTTTCTTCCTTTAAGAAGCTTAGTTACGTGAATAATTTTTGTTCTTGTCTCCATTACATTGTTTTACTTCTCATATTTAGTTGGTCCTTAGGTACTCACAGAAGGCTTTAGATCAACATTTTCAGTAACAAGGTTGATTTTTTTAAGATTAGAAAGCATAAACGCAGTGGTGCTAAGAATGTGATTTGACTTCCTTAGGCCTACATAATGCTTATAGGTTTTTAAAAAAGAATTATCTGTCTGCAACTATCATTTCTCAGTTCTGGGGACTGTCAGTTCTCACTGGGCAGGCACAAAAACTGAAATGCCTTTTACTATAAAGATGTTTTTCCAGTATCTGTCATGTTTCCAGTTATCAAAATAAAATCACATCTAGACTCCGAGTGTTCAATTTACTTATCAAAATAAATTTATTAAAAGTATTCAAAGACCACTTCAAAGTGTAGCTGCCTTCAAGACAGATTTTTGGCACTCGTAACGGACACTGCAGTTTTCAACACCACAGCACTCATTCTACTTCACATATCATTTCTAACAATGCAAATGTGGACCATTTCAGCTTCAGCATAACATGAGACAACAGTACCCATGATCTGTGGTCGTGAGAACTTCAATACCCTTGCACATAGTAAACACTTTACTGAGCACAAAACTAAAACTATGCGGTAACAGGGACTGATTTAGGGAAAGGCGTACAACCAGCTACCTAAGGCCACATAAGCCCAGATCTATTGATTTTAAATGCTTTTGGACCAACAGTATTACGTTGTCTCTTTCATCATCTTACATTCCTGCTTTCAGAGTGAGGCATCACGTTCAGACCCCCTATTCCCTTCTTGTGTTCTACACACAGTGAGGGAAGCTGTTCTGATACCAGCTTCTTCTAGACAGTTACTGGCTTCCTGATTCACTACCCAACTTTGAATCAATAGTTCTGAGTGATGTTTCCCCAACACTCAGGCTGAATTCAAGGTCAGTCTTTCCCCTTAGGAAAAAGAATGAAATGTCCTCCATTTTCAGGCTCTCTTTCACATTTCATGTAGCATGGGGCTCTGTGGCAATTTGTGGCTTTTTACACAAATCCTGGTAGAATTCCGACTCCAAGAAACGGGGGTAAGAGTTGTTCTCCATCAAGCTGTATACCCTCTTCTGGGCGGTTGTAAAGCAGCCACTTGTGGCGTCTTGTATATTCTGGGCAATCAGAGTTTTGGTTTGAAAATCTATGTTTATCTGAAATAAAACAAAAAACATGGTTTATTTGGTATTCAGAGTTAAAGAGTAAAATCTAATATTTGTAAACAAAAAAATAATTATGATGTGTGATTAGCTTTACTCGCAAGTCACGGGAAACTTCTGACATAACTGAAAGCTACAATGTGGGAGGGCTTTTGCCCTCCTTCTAGCCCCACTTTGTCCTGGATTCTTTTGTTTCACTTTTGTGCTAAAAATGTCCTGACTGTGCTGAAATTAGGAACTTTTTGTCTTACCTCTTTTGGAGCTTCCTTTTCTATAAAGTCAGTATATATTTTCCTTGCTTTTGAGGACAACTTTTGGGGTGATTTGGTTTTTTTGAAGTCTTCACAGGCCAGCCAGAATTCAATATTTTCTTCACAGAATTCAGACTTTAAAAAGGCCCTGAATGCAGCAAGACCATCTGAAGAGGGGAGAAAAGAAAGCATGCAGAATGTTAAGAACTGAGTGACCGAATGATTCCTTATGTTCCCCCTAGTACTTCTACCTCAAATTTTAATTATTTCTAAATGACAGTAATTTTCTAGATTTTGCTCAAACCTGCAATTCTCAAAATTTAGCTTTTTAATGACTAAGATGCAGTAGGTAAAATGCTTATGTTGGCACTCTGCTGCAAAAATATAAGTACTTAACTTTGCTGTCAATGCAAAATAAATATTTATAGGGGAGCCATAAGTTCTCTGGGAACTAAGCCTCTTGAAAACATTGTATGCAATGGAAAAACTGACTTGAACTTAACTATAAGCAACTGCCACTTTAATTTTTTTTGGCTATTTTTCTTCCCCACTTGGAGGGAATACATGCATTTATTTCCATTTTAAACCCTGGGAAATAAAGGAGAGAAAAATAGGCTTTATCCTATAGTGACTGCACAATCTAATTCCCTCAGGCAAGCTGCTCTTTTGCAGCATGAACACAGCCTTTCCAGGCTTTTGTGATAATAGCAATGGCTCAAGTTCAAGAATTAACTTACATTTGCTGGCCAGCAGCTCATCAAATGCTTCTGACCACAGCTGTGCTTCCTCAGGAGATGGCCTGAAAGACAAGTTTTGCATGTTAGCTTACGCACATCAAGAGTTCCCCTTTTCAGTTCAGCAACTAACTATTCATACTTGCAACTACGGGATTCTCAACTTACTTGGTGAAAGCTTGCTGTTTGCTTTTTTTGCCGGTTTTGGGCTTCCCAGGAGTAGAGGAATTTTGCAAGAAGTAGCTTAAACGGGTCTTCCAATCTTTTAAACTAAAACAACAGAAAAAAATTTTTTAAAAAACATAATCACTAAGTACCAACACTTCAATATGCTTCTGCAGCTGAACGCATTTTTACCAAATAAAGGCACCCAGTAACTAGAGACAAACCGCATAAGGTAAAGCAAGAACTCTTCAAATAACAGTCTTACCACCCACTTAACATTTAAACTCATGTACTGAACAGTTTCATCCATTAATCTGATCGTATCTACTACTTTTACAGCTAAGGGCAGGGCTACCTAGAATCACTAGGAGTATTTTAAAGAATTGTTAATGAATTTAGTTCAAAAGGCAGATACTATTTCAAAAGGATACCAGTTTGTTTGCAAGGTTAACTACAATTCCGAGACGTTTCGCAGTTAATGAAAAGGGCAGACGTGGAACTGTCTGGAGCCAGCCCATGCTTCTGTCTTTAGAGCAGGAGGTTCCGGACCGTGCCAGAGTGTGTACAAAGAGGTGGGTGGGCGACTGATTCCCCTGCACTCTCCCTTCCCCACCTGCAACCCTTCATTTAAGCAGACGCTGCACAATTATTTGTTCCACATTCGTGACTGGGTGAGATCTGCTCTATAATTAAAAAACAAAAATGGATTTTAAACGGGTATATTCAGAACCGGCAAGAGCATCTCCTTCCAGCAGCTGTGTAAAGCGGACCAGCCGCAGGATTCTGATGTCATTTTCAATGCGGGAGGACAAACAGCCAACCCACAATTTCTTAGCGCATCCACCACCGCCCTCCTATCAACTACGTCCCTCGGCTCCTACACTACCCGAGCGTCACCCAGATTTAACGTTACTTAACAAATTGAGCTTTTCGACTTTTTTTTTTTTCCCTGCAGAGGGTCAGGCTAGCTTCCTAAGATCAAAGCCGAGCCGGAAAGCACCGCGTTTGCAGCTCGCGGTGGGTGGCGCGAGAGGGAAGAAAGCCATACTCACAGGGTCCGCTTCATCTTTTCCCGCTTCTCCTCGCTCTTGTGGCCGCTGCCTGGGCTCTTGTCCATGGGTCTGCAGTCGTGTTGAACAGCCAAGAACATAGCACTTTGCATCCTCGTCCTCCCGCTGCTCCGCGGCTGTGTGAGGCCGGCGGGCGCCGCAGTATTTAATAAGAGGCTGCGGCTTGGGGGCGGGGCCTCGCCGCTCCGGCCCCGCCTCAAGAGGACGCGGATTGGCCGGCGGCAGACGCGCGCGGGGATGGGGTCAGCGCCCGCCGGCCGCAGTCACGGCCTCTGCCGAAGGGTCTCGAAGCCAGGGAGCTGCTGACGAGTGCGGCCCCGGCTTCTTGCGCACTCGGGTCACACCGCAGGGCCGGCTGGGGCCGGTGTGGGAGCGGACAGAGACTTTCCAGTGTGGAGAGGTTGCCCCCGACCTTTTGCCGAGGTGTGGCGGCCGGCGGGCTGCGGGCTTTGCGGCGGAGGGGAGCGGAAGTTGGCTGCGGCGCGGCGGGGGGCGCTCCCTCAGCCTCCCTGACCGGCTCCCCGGCCTCGCGCTTCCCTGGCGGGAGCAGGTCGCCCGCCGCGAGGCCGGAGTGCGCTCGCCTGGTTTTGAATGCAGAGTGGGATTTTCTCGTTTTTGTGAGCGCGCCGTCCTGCTGCAGGGACTCGCTCCACACGCCCCGGTCTGTGAACCGAGGCTGCGAGGAGACGCTCGCCCGCTTCTCCCCGCCATTAATTTGAGGAAGGGGGTGTCCTGAAACGTGGGCTGCCCAGGGGCGGGCGGTGCGGCCTCCTCTGCAGCTTTCGGGGCGTCTCGAACACTTTGGGGATGAACGTCAGTCGGGGATTGAACGAGGGAAAACGACTGTCTCAGAAGACGGCGCGTTGGGTTTGCGTTTGCTGTCAGTGCTGGGCACGGGCTGGGTCTGCCTGCCCGGTCCGTCCTCGGGAGCCCTCGGGCGCATCTGCAGGCGAAATAGAATCCCAGACTTCCTAGGGTGGGAGAGGAGGCTGGAGACGCGGTTCACAGCCTAACGCCCCAGGGCCAGCGAGGTCAAGGACTCACATTTCCTCACCAGTCATTCTGGGTTGAGTTGGGATTCACCAGAACTTTTAATAACTGGCAAAAAAGGAGTTAACAGTTTCCCTGAGTAAGTTTGATTCTTCAGGTGTCATCTTTAGTCCTGGAGTGTTTACAGCGACTCGATTGGTAAAGACAAGACAGATAACCTCGACCACAAAAATGAGTTGATTTCGGATAATATTGCCAGAACTAGCCAGTGACATGTTTAAGCGGCTTTGCCACCAAGCTGTAGATATTCTATTTGTATAGACTTGTTTAAAACGAAACTGGGGGCTGCGTGTAGTCACGCCTGTGATCCCAGCACTTTGGGAGGCCAGGCGGGCAAATCGTGAGGTCAAGAGGTCGGGACCATCCTGGCCAACATGGTGAAATCCTCGTCTCTACTAAAAATACAAAAATTAGCCGGGCGTGGTGCCACTTGCCTGTAATCCCAGGTACTCGGGAGGCTGAGGCAGGAGAATCACTTGAACCTAGGAGGAGGAAGTGGCAGTGAGCTGAGACCGTGCCACTGCACTCCAGCCTGGGAAGCAGAGCGAGACTCTATTTCCAAAAAAATAATAATAATAAAAAGAAAGAAAATCTGAAATAGTGAATATATTCTTAAGGTGAGCTGCCAGTAGTTGGAGCTCCAAGTTTGACTTGGAGGGCAAAAATCTGCAGTTACGTACGACAACAGTTGTGGACTTTATTGTGGAAAGGAAAACGTGTAGATTTCAGTCATAGATATTTTGAAACATGCTTGTGAACTGTATGAGTGTCATTTTTCCCTAAGCATATGCTCTTCCTCTCCCAAAGAACTTTGCATAAAATTCCTACATCTGTTTTCACTTTCTGATGATTAAATACATATTAATAAGATATCTGTAGTATGCAGACAGTTGCTTTTTCTCACCAATATAAACCTAAATATATTTTATACTTAGAACCTTAGATGTTAGAATTCACTCATAGACAGTTAAATTCACTGGTAGGCCAGGAGTTCTGACAAAGAGGCAGCAGGGAGAGAGCTGGACTTCTGTCAGGAGACCCAATTGGAGCCTGGGCTTAACCAGTAAATGCCAAGTAACTGTTGGGACGGTAGCTTCACACCTCTTTGAGTCCTAGTTTCTCATCTGTAATAAGAGTAACATGGCTTTCTTGGCAGCCTCATAAGATATTATGTGACTCTTACATGAAAGGTCTTTCATAAGCTCTAAAGTACTGTACAAAAGTTTGTTACTGATTTGCATATATGTGGAAAAAGGAAATGTTCAAACCATAGCTATTTAAGAAGGAAAATCATATGAGGATTAACTCAGAGGTAATTAAGTTATAAATGTGTAGGTACTATTAAATATCAGTTTGTAGGTACACAAATATACGAGATACACAAATTTGTAGAAGATCAGGCTCATTATAGATATTTAATAAGTGCTCTCTGGATAATAAATCAGAAAAATAAGCAAACCGATCAATATTTAAACGTTTGAGACTGGGTATTGTGGTTCGTGCTGGAAATCCCAGTACTTTGACAGGCTGAGGCTGGAGGAAGGCTTGAGCAAGGCGTGTGAGGCTCATGCATTCAAGCTACAGTGAGCTGCGATTGTGTCATTGTACTCCAACCTGAGTGATAGAGTGAGACTCTGTCTCTTAAATAATAATTAAACTTTTCAGAGGTCTCCAAGCCAAGGAAGTTTAGTCATCTGAATATATTAATAGAGTGAATATACAGGTCCCTGTGTAAGCAACTGGTTGAAATATAGATTATTCTTGATGTTTTTGTGTTTAATATAATTCTTTGCTTTTTTCATAAACCCTTCCAGATCAACGACTGATGTTAGGTGGCAGAAAATTAATTTTTCTCTGAAAGTTATGTGGTTGGTTTATAAATCTGGGTATAAATCAATTGGTAATTTTTGTATCTATATGTAATTTTAAGAGTGAAGGCAGTATCTGCTGCAGACTGAGAAACCTTTTCCTCAAAAACTTGCCATGTCAATGTCTTTTAAAAGACAGTCCAATATACGTATATTTACATATACATGTAATATTTATAACATGAATATGTATATCTTATATATTTCCTGTGTATATGTAATATGCATTACATGTATATTTACATATGTTACCTATATTTACGTATATATATATGTAAAACAAAAGCTGCAATTTTGATGACTTCCCTTTTTGTTGTTGCAACCAGCTTTTGGGTAAATAGAATTGCGCCACATTAAGATGACACATATTTTCCATCTTATGGTAGAGGAAGACACAATGCAGTCAGTGCTTTGTAAAAGCTGTGCAGCAAAACCACAGTTGGAGAGTGGCTCATAAACCAACCATACATTTTCTGTGTTGAAGCTACCATGCCCTCTACTGGAGAGACTGATTGACCACATTAGTGCTGGAGGTTTTCCAGATAGTTTATGAACTTTTTATAATTTTTTAAAAGTTTATAGAAGAAGGCAAACAAAAAATACAAGTTTCTTGCATAACGTATCTTAGATTCTTGTATTATATGTTGTGTGTCTCTTAAATCATGAAGAGTAAAAATGTCCCCTGTCATACTTCTCCCTTCCATTCCCATGCTATACTAACCATTATTAGTAAAATTATTAATCCCTATGAACTAAAAATTTATAAAATAACTCTCCTATTTATGCTTTAGAAATGTAGAAACCGCTGGATGCTGTGGCTCATGCCTGTAATCGTGGCAGTTTGGAAGGCCAAGGAAGGAGGATTGCTTGAGCTCAGGAATGCAGGACCAGCTTGGGCAGCATAGCTAGACCTGTCTTTACAAAAATGTATTTTTCAAAAATTATCTAAGCGTGGTGATATCTGTAGTCCCATCTACTCAGGCAGTTGAGGTGGGAAGATTGTTTGAGCCCAGGGAGTTTGAGGCTACAGAGAGCCCTGACAGTGCCTCTGCCCTCTAGCCTGGGTGACAGAGGGAGACCCTGCCTCTAAAGACAAGTAGGAAATTTAGGAACCAAGATAATTGCTTTAAAAAACGCAAAAATATCATTCTGTGTACCATTCTATGCTTTGCTTTTTTCAGTCAGTAAGATGTTTTCGTTTCCAAATTTCTAAGCGCTCTAAACCTATTGTTTACCTTATGAAATGATAAACAGGTGCGTTAGTTAAAAGAAAAAAAAGGAAAAAGAATCAGGAAGTTAAATGCTGTGTGGTGATGAGTGATTGGAAAAAATGAAAACTTTTAGTACTCTAGTTGTTGAATATATTTGAAGAAGTATAGTGCCTGTCTTCTTAAAAAATTTTTCTCCAATTTAACTTTAGTTGGTGAAATATTCTTTTAACAGAATGAAAGTATGACCCCATGATATTTTGTACTGTACTCCTTAATCCCTAATATGATCTGAGATTTAAAAATTATGATTAATTTCTGAGTGTAATTTTCAACTCAGAAGCTGAGAGAAAATGAGTGTTTTTGTTGGAAATGAATCACAGGTTAAACTTAATACTTGGCATGTATTATAGTGAAGTTAATAATTTTACCAGTCCTTGTATTGATAATTCCATTCAGTGTAATTCCATGGCTCTGTAAATTTATACCAAGTATAAATTTAAGTATGATATGGAGTATGTCATACTTCAAATGCAGGCAGGGCCTACTTAAATTTTATAGCCCCCACTTTATAAAAACATCTAGATTCCCTTCATAAAGCAACAACAGGAGTGTCATGAAGTTTTTTTTTTTTTTCCTTCTGAGAAAAAAATACTAACATATATTGAAATACTTTGAACAGGTTTTTGTAGCTACTAGGCCTCTAAGGTAAAGGACTGTAAGTATGAGGTCTGAATAAGGAAAGCATTTCCAGTGTATTCCTGCTGCTGCACTCTTTTTGTGCATGGAATACCAGCGGAGAATAGGTGATAAAAAATAGATTACATAGATGACCTATTGTCTAGGAGGTAAAGCTAGGCATTTGTTTTTTGCTATTTCTTTTGACTGGGAATTTAATTTCTGTCTATGGAATTTTGCCAAATTATTGGAGTATCAAGTGTCCTGTTGACTACTTTTTTGAAATTTTGGGATATTAACAAAATACAAAATTTTAAATATCTATATGATAATAG